TAAAGATTACAGCCAAGAAAACCGTATTAGGTAGTTCTGCTCTGTTCTGTAGGGTCGCTATGAGTCGGAATTGACTTGACGGCACACAACAACAAATCCCCATTTGACATTAGAGGGAACGGAGCCTCAAGGGACTTTGTGACTTGTCCCAAGTCACTCCCGAAGTAATTGGCAGAGCCGGGTTTTGAACTCTTATATGTCTGACTCTGAGGCCCATGCTCTTAACCTCTGTGCTAAACAAGTGTTTAAGTTATCATTTGAAAGAATTATTTATTTTCTAATTAGTTCCTTGTTGCCTGTTTTCTCTCACTTGGTCGCTTGAAAAAAATGGCCTCTGATGAACGTCCAAATAAAGTAAACACAGACGAAAGCCTGAATTAAAAATGAAATAATGATAGATAAATCAAGGGAATTCTCATATACAGTTTACAAATATATTCATCGTTTGTCTCCAACAGTCCTGAAGTACCTGCTAGGATTTTCTAAAATGAAGACTGTTTTATTCTTTTTTTTTTCATTAAATTTAGGCCTCAGGCAATACCTGTGGAAATGTTTTGGCGGAAAAAAAAAAAAAATACAAAGCAAATACAAATTCTCCTTCCTCCCTAGTATCTCCCAGTTTCTTTCTTCCCAACCCTGTCATTTCCTGAAGGCTGCTGCTACCTCTTTTGGGACTGACGGGCTCTTGCAGGGTCTGAGGCTTTTCCTCCAAAACCCAATTGCTAGTTTTTTCCACTCAGAACAGAGCATAAGCAAGGGAAGGAATCTTTCCTTTCTTACTGGTATCTAACAAAGCAAAAATTATATTTCTACTAGCTGTCAAGTAACATGTCACTAATTAAAATTTCTCTCAGGCCTCAGAAGCAGGCTGGGTGAGTTTTCATAAATATTCACTACCCCAGTCATTTATCTTTCTATTTGGTGGTTCTTACCTTGCCAACATACAAAGGGTCAGTTCCAGTGTATTCTTCCAGAACAAAAAACTGGTTCCAAACCCAGCTTCTCTTTGTTCGCTGGTGTAACTGTGGCTTGTCTGCCAGGTGTACCTCTAGTCGGCCTCTTGGTGTTGGTATGCCCGAGACAGTGGCAGTCGACAGGTCCATCAGTCCCCAGAAGTACAAGGACATGCCAAGTCCAAGCCAGCACTTTGCATTGCTCATTCTACCAGAAGTCCACATGGGATTGCCAGGGTTTCGGAAAGCAAAACACTGGGTGATGAACCGCTGGAACTTGAGTATTTTCCAGATGAAAAAATAACGCAGTTTATTGGACACTTATGTTTCCTGCATGAGATCCCGACTCACATCAATCCACTTGAAGTTGACTTCCTGTCAAGTTAAGAAAAACAGAGTGTGATGATGGCAAATTCTTTCCTGTGGGCTTGAAGCAAATTTTCAAGAAATGTCAGTAAATTTTCGTTTTTCTGCTTCGTGAATTAAAGAGTTGTAACATGTTATTGCTTTAGAAATGTTTGAGTAATTAATACTTATTGATAAAAAGACAATTTATCTTGCTATAATCAATCCCAAACCTTTGGATATGGATTTCAGTGGGAATATAGTAAATACATTTCTTCTTATTGGTAATTTAGCTTCAGGGTTATGCTGTATTACTGACTGGCTTGAATTAATCGTGTGCTCTTTGAAATATTTATGATCAGACAGCCTCCTAAACTTTAAAAAATAACATTTCCAAAATTTATGGGGAATAATATTCATTAGCCTGCTTTTCTTGGCTCATTAAAAGAAACAAAAGCAAAATCAAACTATCTTTTTGCCATCCACAGTTATCTGGTGCCTGGCCCTGTTATGGAGCC